CAATGCCACGATGAATGTGTGCTAGAGGGTGGTCCAATGAAATATTAGAATGTGTTACTTTTTTGGGGGGCTGGCAGTGTATGTATATTCTAGCAATGTATTTAGCTGTGTATGTATTTAGTCTACATGGAGTTTAGTTTTATTGCTATAAAGGAGAACTCCACTTTCATTAACATTAATATAGCATATACAATTGCTATGAAAAAAATGTCTTCACTAAGATACAATTTTTAGGCATTCCCTGCAATATTAATTCCAGTGAGTCTGAAAGGACCTTGTGAAAGAAACAGGAGTTTCTTCAGAACGGAACAGGGTCAAAATCTGCACCACATTTTTGTTAATGAAGATAGATCACCCAGAGCAGATTGTGTTCATTTTCAACAAAAGGGGAGTTACACTTTAACACACAGGTTCACTTTAAAAAAACTTGTTTTGCTACTGTATCATGTACTCATAAAAACTTCCCTATTTTCCCTCAAGTACAATAGCTAGTAAACAAATAGGATAGATGTTTAAATTCCCTCTGTTATGATTTATACCTTTAATAGAATCTTTCATAATAATCCACACTTATATTGGTGGAAGGTGCATTCTATTCCGATACTGTGATGCTTTAAAAAAAATGCCAGCATTTTACAGGTTGCTTTTCCTCCCTCTACAAGATTTGTCTTTTTCTGGTGTAATGTCTGCTGCATTCACACACCAAGCTAAGTTAATACCAGCATTAGCATAATCATAATCTAGAGAGGGCGCATTTAAGAAGAATTACTTATCTTTGAGACTTTTATGACTCGGTAATTGATAGGGCATGAAAACCCTGCATGTTGTGGATAAGATTCTAGCTTTTGCAGTATAATGATTTAGAGTAGAATGTTTATTTAAACAGTTTAAACCCATTGCCCCGCGGCATCCATCAGGGATTTATTTCACCAGTATCACTGAGCATTTTCTTACAGTAAGGAGCACTCTGTTAACTACCTGACAAATATCTAAAGGCAAGATTATCTACACTTTCTTTAAACGTATCAGAGCAAGAACTACTACAAAGCAAACATTTGCATATTATTGAGTTTAAATTGTACAAGAATATATTAAAGCAGAACTATGGGGTTAAAGCTTTTCCCCATAGTTCTCCTTAGGGTAACGGGAGGACACAAACTAGCGTCCTCCCGTCACCCTAAGCTCAGTATACCGCGAACTACAGCTTGCGGTATACTGAGAGGCCACAGTATACCGCGAGCTACCGCTCGCGGTATACTGAGACGCCGCAGCTGAAGCAGATCCCGACAATTATGTCTGGATCCAACCAGCTGCGTGAGTGACAGCTGGCTCTGCCTATCTGGAGGCAGAGCCAGCTGTACCCGCCCCCTCCCCCGTCCGATCCGCCAGTCAGCGCTGGCGGAGCGGAGCGGGGAGGGGGGAATCCAGCCACTGTCACGGCAGAGAGCTGTGGCAGGATCGAGAGGTGAGCGAATGGCTGTATGTGTTCGCTCACTTCTCGATCTACTGAGCCGACCTGTGACAGTCTCATTGTCACAGGTCGGCTAGAAGTATGAGGTGAGTGAAAAGCACTCACCTCATAGTCCTCCTTTAAACATAATATTTACACCTTGACTAGAGATGAGGATACTTGGAGTACATTGTCTTTGGAGAAAAATGCAAACATAACGCTTCAAAAAAAAAAAGGGCTGCTGGGTAAGAATATTTACATTAGTTTACATTGGAAATATACTGTAAATCTGTTCAGTTGGTTAGTCTGCCAGGAGATCTGGCGTACATCATATACGTGCCTGATTTAAAGTAATATTAAGCTCCCAAACTTTTTTTCAATTATAAATAAGATCAAAGAAATATATATACATTGGCCAGCAAAGTATTTCTTTACATATTTGCCCAAACACTTACAATAATTTCTTACAATGTTTCTGAACAGCTGCTTCCATGTCTCTCAGCTCAGCTTCCCTGAACTTCCTGTCTAGTACACGATCACAAAGAACAGAGCAGTTGCCAGCAGCTTTCCATTTACTAGCTTGGAGAAGGGAGAAGAAAGGAAGGAGGAAGTTGAAGGGAGGAAGGGGGATGTCAGAGACCATTCGTTAATGCGCATGTGCGGGGTCCCATTTTCCATACTATTGGAAAACGGGCACTTGCGCACATGCCACAGAAAGGCTGTGAAAAAGTGCGCCAAATGGCGCACAGGAAGTGACGCAGTGCGCTAATAGATCACACTATTTAAACCAAGCCTGCCTGTCTCAAAACTGCTGGATTGTCTTTCAGCTCCCCTGTGTTCCTGTGTTTCTTTGCCTTGTATTGCCTGACTTGTGACCTGGATTGTTCGTGACCATTCTTGTTTGCTGCCTGCCCTTGACCTTGGATCGTTTACTGGACTTTGCCTCTGCCTGACCCCTTTTGTACCTTGCCTGCCCCATCTGTGTAACCTTGATTACGGATCCTGCTCTGCTCTTCTCCCAGCAGCTGGACTCCAGCTTGCACCATGTAAATCACCACTGGCACCCGTGCCACTCACTGTCTGATTGGACACTGTCCCCAACTCCAGAGTCCTCGGGACATGATGTGCAAGGGAGGCCTCCTCACGCATTCCGTCTCCAACCAGGTATGTGACAGCGGATCAGGAAGGAGGGAAGTGACTTGTCTTGCTTTGCCTGTGTGTTTGTGTGGAGACACAACACAGCTTACTGGCACACACAAGGGTGGCTCCATAGGACTTTGCAAGGGAAAGGAGCCAATCTAAAACAGGATATCAGGCCCAGTACTCAAGGGGCAGCTGATTCTGCAGGAAACTAACACTTTAAACATCAAGCAGCAGTATTCATTGTAAGTGATTTCATCAACATTTAAAATAGCTTAAACTTTTTCTGACTTTATAATCATTTTAAAGGTTCTAATCTTCCTATGGTACAATGCTCTTAACTATAGGAGGCCCGATCCCCCTTTCAGATGTACACAGCTTCCTTCCACTCCCTTGTTATCTGTTAACCTAAGAAAGGATTTAAATTTCTGCCCATCCAGATCTGAGATTTACACAGCTCTGCCACACAGCAAAGTCTTGTCTAACAGGGAAGAGCTTTGCTAAATAACATCTACAGGTTTTGAATCTGGGCTTCTCCTGGAAGAAGTAGAACACTGATGAGCTCATCTTTCTATCACTAGTCTTAGCTGTGCTGTACAGGGGATTGCAAACTCAGGAATTCAGGCACTTAGACTGCTTGCATCTAAAATACATTTAACGTACAACTCACCCTGATTGTAGAAAAAAAAGCTCAGGAATCCTCTTAATTTAGTGCAAACTCTAATAAGTTAAATTCATTTTAAAGCCTATTTCTATAGATAAATACCAGATGATCCTGCCAGTCAATCCTCCAAACTCCTGCAGGGTGACAACTGTTTGTGGACTGCAGTAAACTGCTGTAATGCTGTCCCCCTGCACGGAGCACATTATTGTGAAGTTGTATTTTTAGCAACAAATCCACATTAAAAGATGTTAAAGCACACAAATAGCTATATCTGTCAGTCTTCTTCAGCCACTGATGAAGTAACTCACACAATTGGATTATTAAGTTACTTTGTCTCAGCACTTGGCTGAACTCTTAGGGCTAGTTCACACCAGTCCCAGTGCTTTCCAGCCCAATTAAGTGCTGCAACGCATTGGATCGAGATGTGCAGGGTCACCAGGGATGTGCAGGGTCACCAGGGATGTGCGGGATCACCGAGGATGTGCCGGGTCACCGAGGATGTGCCGGGTCACGGGGAACGCGCGGGGTCACGGGGAATGTGCGGGGTCACGGGGTACGTGCAGGGTCCGAGTGAACTTGCTGGGTCACAGGGAACGTGCTGGGTCATAGAGGATGTGCAGGGTCACCAAAGATGTGCGGGGTTGCCGGAGATGTGCGGGGTCGCCGAAGATGTGCGGGGTCGCCCATGATGTGCGGGGTCATTGGGGATGTGCAGGGTCCCTGAGGATTTAAAATGTAATGGATTTCTTTAGCAATCACAACAACCCTCCAAATGTAGTTAAAAAAATAAATAATAATCCCACGGTCACTGCACTGCCCAAGTGGTGGTACCACTATGAATATTAAGGAATGCACGTGCATGAGAGAAGCAAAGCATTGTGGGAAAAGCAGTATTTCCACTCCCTACACTGTAGTTTCCACTGTGCAAAGCAGTCTGGCAGTCATTTAAAAAAACCTGTGGAGCCTGAGAGGACAACTAAAAAAGTATGTTTATTTGTTTATATCCAGGATGTGCATATGCCGGCATCATCCACACACCGCGTACATTGCTGGCATATGTTTTTTTTTTAAAGCCTCTGCAAAAGGTGGAAATGTCCTTTAAGGAATCTAGGCCATTAAGAATTCAGGCTTTTCAGAAGGCAAAACAGGGCCCTACCTAGCACTTGCTAGGTGTACATAAGAAACATGACTGTGAATGTAAGAGCCTCATAACACTATTGTAAATGTAAGTGTATTATTTTCTTGAAGAGGCACAATAACAATTCCATCAAGAAGATGCTGTGAAAATTGTATATATTTGCAGACATTCTATAAAGTCTAGAAGGGTCACTGTCTTGGCAGATGCAGGGCAAAAAGCACATTTATTAAAACGGCCTCGTAATCGCTGGCTGGCTCTTCTGAAAGTGCAATGTGGAAAACTGCTTTTGCTTTGAAATTGCCTATCTTACTTTCGAAAATGTATTCAGAATCACTCCTTATTTACGGAAATATTTCCTTCAACCAAATTAATAAGAAATACAATTTAAGTGCCCTTCTGAACCTTTCTTCTTGCAACATTGTATTTATGGAGTGTGACTGATTACAGAATGGGAGAGAATTTATTGAAAGAGTTTCTGTTTATGCCTGTCCAATTCTGCCAAACAAACACAAATGCCTCCATGCACTAATGTTCTGAATATTGCAGAATGACTTATTGGAACACAGCCTGTTGGTTTTATTGGCACAGAGTATCTAACTGTGACTTACCAGAGACATTATGTCCGATATCACAAGAACGATGAGAAAAAGACTGAAAGGAAACAAAGTAAAATTTCATTTCAGCACAGGAAAATGATATATTTAAATACAGATCAATAAACCTTACACTTTATCAAATACTTTACCAAATACAATCATTTTAGAAGATTCCTTACAGCTTACACAGCATAAACCATAATAAAACATTTTCATTTTGAAGACCTTAGAGGACATTACTGTAAGATTTTCATTTTGAAGACCTTAGACGATATTACCGTAAGATTTTAAGGGAAAAGGCATTTTTTGCACTGAAACAAAAATCCAGACAAAACCTGTAACTCAGTAAATAACATGCCGAATGGAAAACTATTCATTTATTTGCTCTGTTTTTTTTCTTCTGTATAGGAACCAACTATCAAACACAATGTTGCCTGATTGAGCAGTGAAAATCTTTCTTTATTTGCTTAGAACTTCAGTTCTGAAAAGTCTGCAATCCTCAACTAGGAAATGATTACTAACCTTCAATACAGCTCATTATAAAATGTTGAAGTTCTTATTTGCAGACAGACTTTACTGTACCTGAACTAACATGGCAGGCATTCTGTTTCTGTATAAATGGAAAGCAGTTTCACATGGACATATAGCCAAGAGCTATGAGTAATAATGGGTAAGTGTGTATAATCAACATAGCCGATATCAAAATCACCACTGTCTAATGCTCCATGGTGGTTGTGTGCTTGTAATTCAAAGGAGGCCAGCATGGACCTTTGTGGAAGTGGATGCAGCAAAGGTGAAATTATGTAGCCATTTTATATAAGGGGGCTTACTATTTTACTCTAGATACTTAATTGGAACCCTAAAGTAACAAGGATCCCGGTCACCTATAGCCTCCTGTTTTAATGCAGCTGTAATTCAAAATCTCAGATTAAAATTCAAGCTCCATCTTAGGATATCAATGCCATTACATCAAAACAGTATTTAACTCTATACTAGTATTGTTACTGGTACAATATGTCAATTTTATTAACAGATGCAGCCCATTCCCCAAAAAGATGGCAGTCAGCTTTTAAAGGCAGCAGATAGGAAGTATAAGACAGGGAAGAGAGATTTTGTGGAGGGAAATGCAGGCAGATGAATCACAATGGGTCAAAGGCATATAGGGACGAAGGGAAATGGGCTAGGTCAGGATGAAGGGAGAAGGACAGATGGATCTTAAAAAGAGAAGAGGGGAGGAGCACAGCAAGCCAGGCTGATCAGGATAGAAAGGTTAAAAGTATAGAAGGAGGTTAAGATACATATATAAAAAAGCTCTATCACTTGCATTCTCCACTTCTGTAAATTAGGTGATACAATGGTTATTTACCTTAAAAGAGTAAACTACAATGACAGCAGAAGATGCTGGGGGGAATTTATCAAAACTGGAGCAGACAAAATCTGGAGCAGCTGTGCACAGCAACCAATCAGCTTCTCTCTTCAGTTTGTTCAGTTAAGATTTGAAAATAAAAGAGAACGGCTGATTGGTTGTCATGCACGTCTGCTCCAGTTTTGATAAATTCCCTTTGCTGTCTTTTAGGCACCATTTCTCTTTGGTGAAAAGTTCTTACAGGCAGGTGGGGAGTGGGATGACTCAATCCTCTTTGTGTGCAAATTTATAGCTTGAGCTAGTGAGCTCTGTAAACAGACTTCTTTAGCATTGCAGGCAAAGATAGCATTACAACATGTAAAAAGGAACTATGATTCCTGCCGATGTTCCTAATCACCTAGGAGTTTTGGATTTTTCTGATCACCTTTGAGTATTCCAGTATCTCCTGGTGCATTGTGAATAATATACAATAATATCAGATGATCTAACTCTTCAGCATACAATTGTATAATGCCTGATGAAGAAACCTAAAAAAAGGCCCTGAAAGCTTGCATACACAATTGGGGGGATTTATCAAAACTGGAGCAGACAAAATCTGGAGCAGTTGCCCATAGCAACCAATCAGCATCTCTCTTCAATTTGCTCAGGTAAGATTTGAAAATAAGAGAGAGAAGCTGATTGGTTGCAGTGCAAATCTGCTCCAGATTTTGTCTGCTCCTGTCTTGATAAATTCCCCTCAATGAGTTGTAGTGCACTCCACTGCAATCTACATTGACGTACGTGTGGAATGCACCGCAAAGGATCCACTAAAGTATGAATCAGCCCTTACAGTCCAAACAATTTGATGATGGTTGGTAACTTGTATTTAGAAGATGGAATGACTCTGATATATATCAAACATTAACAAGCAATGTAGTCATGCTATGTAGTATATTATTCATCTGGCCATGCAATACAGTGCTGGAAATTAATGCAGAGCTGTAGCCAATCTTTTAACATTTTTAATAAAAAAATAACAAATTCACAGCATGAGACCTGCTATTGACCTGCAGGACCCATCCTAGGGATGATGCCCTGGTTTCATCAATCCATTGTTATAGTACATGCAAATCTTTGTACTTCATATCTCTGTACATGGCACAACATATTCCATCCAATCCTGCAATTAAGAAGGATATTTAGTCAACATGCACTTTGATGTGATGTCACATTATTAACTTCTCCCTACATTTGCCTCCTCAATGAAAAAGGTATAATATAAAACTAACCCTGCATTAAATAGGTAATTACACATTGTAATTATGCAATACTTGTTTTGGCATAGAGTCTTTTTCTGCAAATATGACATTTTATAGAAAGAATAAATAATTAGCTTTTAAAATATATGCAGAACCAAGACATAAAGACATTTGTGCTGCTCCAAGCACACCAGTAGCCAGAAATGTTGCAAAAACAATGTTCTCTTATTTTGGATACAGTTCAGTTTTGGATATAAACAAAAATCTGGAAGACAGATTGTGACCGCCAAATGTATTCTTCATGTGTGTTAAATTAATTAGAAACCAAGCAATTCTAGAGCATAGCAGCTCTACCACACAGAAATGCATTAGGCAATACTAAGAAAATGTACTTCAAAAAAGTGTCTGCATAAGTTCAGCTAAATATACCCAGCATACCCTTTATGAAGATATATTATAGTTTTTTATAGTTTATTGTGGACAGCTTGTGTACAGAACAGTTAATAAGGACTGCCTTCATGAAGTAAAAAAAAAATAAAAAAAATTAAAGGGCCGGTCCACCCAAAAGTAATATCTCAGTCAGGTGATCTAGAAGGCCATAATGGCACCTATGGTTCAGTATTTATGACAGCAGTGTTAGGGAAGGCAGCACCATAACTCAAACTGCACACCTTTTGATGACTTTTACTTATTTCGTTTTCCCGTTCTGAATTATACAAGTGCAAAGGATGTTGGGAAGAGTCAGAAGGCACATTGTAGATCAGGAAACATGAAACCATCTCTCCTTGCTCTTGTTTGATGATTTATACCATTGGTAGGCAAGCTTGGCACTCCAGCTATGCTGAAATTACGTCACCATGCCACTGCCTGTGGGAGTCATGCCTGTGTCAGAGTTTTCAGCTTTATGAATATACCTGCCTGTGTTTTATTTTCATATATTAAGTCAATATTTCCCTTTTTAGCAGATGCTGAACCATAAATGTTCATTATATCTCTTGGAGGCTCCGGTGGTGAGATCTCTGCACTTGAGTCCTTTTATCTGAAAACCTGCGACAGTCATTACAGGAGGGCCTCAATCTCACTACTGTAAAGATATGCAAAAACACGCACCATTTCTAGATGAGTGGATACAGAGATCTTGCCACTGGAACCCCAAAGTTATATAAGATGCAGCAAGGTTGTCAGACAGGACCACGTCACGGTCCCCCCTAGTCGTGCCTACTGCTTTCTTTATTGAAAGTACTGCCTCTGTTACTGAATATCTCCCACTGAGAGCAGCAGTGCCTGGGAAGGTAGCACGTGAGACACAAAGGAGGATTTGTCTCAGTCAGAAAACAGATGTCCTATGCAGATCACATTTTTGATATACATATGAAAAAAAATAGTAAATACTTGGTAACATACATTGTTACACTCTATCACTCAATGTCACTTTCAGACTATCTACAAGTGTGATTTTACACAGAAACAATTGTGAGGAAAAGTGAGAGATGATGTGATCTTTGTAAACATCTCATGGTTGTATTATGGGTTTCTTTTATGGGGCTCAATTGCTTGGTAGTGGCTGCACTTCCACCTACAAGGGACCCTACAGAGGACAGGAGGGGCCCTGGAGAAGTCGATTAGAAAAAAAAAAGGTGGGGGGGCAAATGAAGAAGAGTCCAAATAAGTTTTTAAGAGCAAGAATAAAAGCATCAAAGTGCCAACAGGTTTCAGGGGAAAACACAGACCCACCTCATCAGGGCTTTAGGTGTAATTCAAAAGGGAATACCTCGGGGAATGGGCTCAGGGAAAGTTACAATGATAGTGACCTCAAATAAAAGGGCACATGCAGAAGTCAGCAATTGGGTGACTAGTTTTTCTAATTTTACACAGAGACAGCTTAATTTTGATAGCCACCCCTGCTATGCAATAAATAACGATTTCAGGCTGTAATTTTGACAGCCGGTAACTGCTGGTAATAACAGCATGGGAAGCAGAGGCAGGGGGAGAGGAGCCGAACATAGGAGATACAGTCTAGAGATATTGTTAAAGTTCCTTTTTAGAATAAATCTCCTACATTTAAAGTCCTGAAGTGGTTATTAAGGATATAACAATCTGAGATCTTAACTGTTTTTGTTTCCCAGTTCCCACTAATCAACACTGAAACCTTCCTTAGAAAAAGTGAATGTTTTTTGTTTACTCTCATCTAGGAAATATAGACCGTTACAACATCAGACATTTTGATAGTTATTCGCCTTGCTGTTAGATGCAACAAACACTGGAGGCCAGAATTCATTATTCCATTTTCATTTTTACTGGTAATTTTCATATAAGATGCTTTTCTAGTAGCCAAGATTTTGCATAATAACATAATCAAGAATAAATAACAATATGTAATGCAATTGTAGTGAGCAGTAGACAGCATAAAGGAGGAAGAACGAGGTAAATATACCACTGTAATATAATACATGTATTCAATTCTCTGTGTAGTCATCTGGATGAACACATGCATTCCAGATAAGAAAAAATGCATTAGAAATCAGTCTGGCAATGTGTACTGTTTATAAAGCTCCAGCAGAAGCTTAGATAAAGCATTCTAACAGGATATTAGGCTCTGAAGGATTCCAACCTGTAACCTCAATCTACAAGCACAAAACAGTTTCCACTGAGCCATTTCTTTAGCTGTTTGTTGGCTTCTATCTAAAATATTCCTTTCACAGCTACAGAAAAAAAGCAGAATGAGACTTTACCATATCAAATCTTTGCCCAGCCTTGATCCAAGATGCTTTCATTTTTCAGGCGTTATTTACTGGCCTTCTGTTCTGTTCCCCCAATTAACATTGTAAGGCTTTAATGTGTCCAAAAAGCTTTTTTCTTCCTTTTGGTAAACTTAATACTACAGCAACTTTCTGCTGTATCTGTGCAGTGATTGTTAGAAGTTTATGAAAGATGACTTGCAGGCCCTATTAAATACCACTAAGGTTAACATTTCTGTTGCCCTATTGAAAGCTTTTGGCAGCTCCGTTAAAGCATAGCTTTAGGAAGATTAAAAAAAAAATAACCCAGTAATGCATTCATTTAAAATGATTAAACAAATTTTAAAACAAAGCTACTATAATTCACTCTCCCGCCTTGCACTGTTCTGTCAGTCAACCTTTCTTAACTTGTTGAGAGGAGAACACAGTTGTTCTATTCTGTTTGCTGCTGCGCCTTTATTGTCCAATCAGCAGGCTGGGGTGTACTGGTGACCAGTGGGGTTACTATAGCCTTAGCAGCCCATGCAGCCTCAATAAGGCTCTGAGGTGGGAGAGTAGAGGTTAAACCTGACTATAATCTTTGTGAATTCTCCAGTGAGAGCTGATGTCATACACACAGAATTACTCTTCAGGATGATCGCTAGTCAAAACTATCTCTTGCTTTCCCTGTGTAGCAAATAGCATTTTTTTTTAAAGAATGCTAGGTGTCTATGCAGTGTATCCCAGTCCTGTCCTTTATTGCCCTCATAGCCTCTGCTGCAGCCCAGCCACCACTCTGATAGGTACCTAAAAACCGACAAGACAGCTGAAGTTTGTAGTTCTGCAAAAAAAAACCCCACAGTTTAGGGAAATTTGTGTGGGTTATTCAGAAATTGTATGCAGTTACACTAAAAACAATGTAATCAAAAAACTATTATTATTATTGTTATTTCTGATGCTACTACAACATCTTCTTTATTGACTACTAATAGATTATATCCAGTGCTTGCTGTAGTGTGAGATCTTATACCCCTAAAAAAGATCAGTTGCTGCTGAAAAGACTGGGGAGCTACTGAAGAAAAAGTTGTTAGCTAGAAAATTAAGGTTAAAAGTTAATTTTCTGCTCTGCTGCCCCTCTCTTTTCTGGTAAATTATATCCACAGCACTGGTTCTGAGTAGCATACAGACTATGCCAACATTTCTTTTCCTATATGTCCTTGATTAAGGCATGCTACAGTATATGTTGAGACTAATGATATCTTCTGTATTGTCACAGCTGATATTGCCAGATGCTACAGAGAGAGAGGTTGATAGGGGCCCTATAAAAATTTTTTTTTTACTACAGCCCTGGCAGGGGTGCCTGGATCACAAGACAGTTTTAATAAACTGTACTAACATTTGGGGGGGGGGGGGGGGGATTTTACCACACATTACCACAGTGCATAAGTGTAAATAGGTTCGAACTTATGGGAATTAAACTGATGGCTGTTTTACCTTTTTGAGGAAATCTGTGCTGAGATCTGAACAGTTTCAAAAGCACACATCACCATAATGAAGGGGATGAGAATCTGTAAAACACAGAGCAGAATATTACAGGAGAAACATCCTTTCAGAGCTTTATACAAAAGACAGGTAAATAGTCTCTAACTAGTCAATGAATGATGGGGCAAATTCTCGTTGCTCTGCATGAATAATTTAGCATATTAGATGTATTTCAAATTAATGCTGCCCTTCTTTAACATAGGTTACAAAGACACCAAATGAATACAAGAATATAAGCTCTTTTAAAGATTCTGATTAATGCATGAGAAGGCACAATTCGTGGTTCAAAGAAGGAATATCATTAAATTCATAAAGTAACAGAAACATGGCAAATAATCCTCCTATTCCAATCACTCTATAAAGACTTATTAAAAACCTCTACATATTACTTTTTTTCAGTCTCAAAGAAGTAAAAAAAAAAAAAATAGAAAGAAAACGTGACTGGCAGGAATAAAACAAGTAGGTAACTTAAATGACAAAGGCCAGTGAATGTGTTAATGGGGCATTACAGGGGGATTATAGGAGAAACATAATTGTATTTGTTATAATATATATAGAGAGAGACAGAGAGAGGCAGAGAGAGACAATATAATTATACAGGTTATGGTGCGAATGGACTAAAGCAATCAAAAAGCCTTCCAACTAATTCACATGTCTCATCCCATCACATATCCCCAAAATAAGAGGATTATTCCTCATTTCAGGACAATGGGTGCAGTCTTGCAATTCATTGCTTTATGTCCCATCAGTCAGATGCACATCTAAAACCACTGGTGCATAGTGAAAATAGTCTAATAATTTAGAGCCATTTATTCCAAACGGAGTACAGCTGTTTCAGGCTTATGGTTTTTATGAATAATAAAATATATTAATAATGAAAAATGCCCGTGAAAAAAGATTGAGTGAAACTCTATCAATAATTTGTTTTTTTTAGTTTTGGAGGAAGGATAAGAATGTCCGTCAGGTTTGTGCGGTACTCTGTGTGTCCCCATTGAAGGATTTTCCATCAATTGGATTGAAAATCTTAAGAAGAATCGGATGGCGTTTCTATTCTTCAAAAAAAAAAATATTTGGACTTCTACATTTAGGTAGATCTCTTCTAAGAGAAATGCAGGGGCTGCCATTGTTCACCATCTACTGAAAATGGTGGTTTCTATGCTTATATGCTGACTTACTGGCTTCAATGTTCTCCGCATCACTGATTTTGAATGAGTTTGCACATCAGGAAAGTCAAAATAACATTAAATGTCCTGTGTACTTGCTCTGGGTTAGTGACCCAAGGTATTGAAAGCAAAGTGGTTAGCCTTCATGTTTCTCTCAGGAAAGATTTCCTTTAAAGCTGAAATTCTCTCTCCCACCTCTCACAGTTTGAGCTCTAGTGTTTAGCAGGTTATAGGAAACTGATAGTTTTTAAATATATTTTCCTCACTTATTTTTGTTTTGTACTATTTTGTGTGTATTTATTTTATTCAAGAAAATATGAATACTTTATATTTGGCACTGGCAAGCAGTAGGTGGAGCTCAGCATTAGTTTAAAATAATGTGTGATAAAGGGACCCACTGCTCTCCTTTTCTGCAAGTAACAATGGTAGCTTCTCAATAAGTGGATGAATGTGCTCTGTCAAAAGCATTCAGAGAGTGCTGGGCTTTCTTATTTTAGGGAAAGTCAATTGTTGCATAAAATATTTGCAAAGATATGGGGGGAGGGAATTACTTTCTTACTCTCAAGGGCTGAAAATGCACTGGTTGGGGTCTGGAAGGGGGGAGTGGGTGAATATGTTCTCAATGTTTGGAGTATATCTCAAGTCTCCATTTCCTAAGCTAATAATAAAGTATCCTAACTTCATAGAGTCTTAGCAACTCACCTTCCACATCATTAATGCTCCCATCACAAATGGGTTGAACACAGTAAGGAAACAATACACGGATGCAGGGTCAAAGCTAAAGAGGAAAAATGAGAAACACAATGGGAGACAGAAATGTCACATGTCTAAAATGTTTGGCCTTAAAGGGTAAATGTACAGTACTTCCAAACAAAAGTACTGTACATCTACCCACCCTCTTAGCCACTTCTGACTCTACTCCCCTCTCACTTTGCAGCTGCTTGCTTAGCCAAATCCGACTACTGTGATGTGTGGAAACTTCCCTACCACTGGCCAAGCCTGAGCAGAGGGTCTTTATAGGCTTTTATGGGGCCTTCTACCGGGCAACTTCAGTCTTGGGAGGTGTTTCCACAAGTGTACAAGGGCTTACTGTGCACACACGGTCAGCAGTGATGAATATATGCTTTAGCAACTAAACAACGCAGGAGGACGTCTCTCAGACAATTCAGGTAACTTAGTAGCTAGGGAGGTGGGGAGGTTGTTAGTTAAGATCAGGACAGCTAAGTAAAGTGGGTACTGAAGGATAAATCTATCTTTAGGTGCAAAATACACAGGTCTTTTCTTTCAGATAAACTGATGCTCCCTAGTTTGTTCAGCCAATGACCCTTCATGGACTCTTATAGTGCCACCCCCTGAAATTGGAAACCATCGGGAGATACCCCATAGAATATAAGGGCTCACTGTGCAAGCATGATCAACAGTGTGAAGGCTGCAACTAAAGGATGTAAATGTAGTGGCAGGCTACAGCTTCCATAAATAAGCAATGGGGGAGGGGTTGGGATATTAGTTGTAATATGATTATCATAAAGCTCTCAATGAATTGCCAGCATTTTTATTTATCCTGGTTTTATCACTCCTTCCTACCTGTTAATGGATGCTATATTCCCGGTACCGAAAAAGGCTGTGACTATGAAGAATACCTATAGAAATGTGAAAGAAAATGTTTAATCAACTCAGAAAGCAGACATGGTTGCAAAGTTTTCAGGGCAATGACTAAGAATGCCACACTTAGAAGAATGCTCCATTAAAAAAGAACCACAGAAAAAAACCTATTTGCATCCAGGGAGTATGGTGGCTTGAGATCAAAGGCTTCTTCTCCTAAATATATACAAAGGGGCTTTCACTACTAAACAATCAACAGAGGAAGGATAGCTGAAAAATAAAACCAAAGAAATAGGAGGGCGCCCCTAAAGGAATCAATATAAATCTTGCAGGGTGAACAAGGTAGAAGAATTCAATGCTCACCCATACAAATTTTATATATATAGAAAAAGGGGGAAAGAGAAAGAAAGGGGCTTTGTGGTGACCACTGAGAAATACCAGGGAATTGATCCAAAAATAAGGTCAATTGATTCGTAGATATAATAAAATTTAATTTAATACACTCAATTCATAATGTCAATACATATAAATATATTAAAATTCATCCAGATAAAAAAATCATAAATAGATGTATACAACATAAATAACCTCCCTGGAGCCCACACGGAAACCATTGCTCTCATTGTGTTCATATCTTATTAAATGATTCATTGTACATAATTATTCTATATATCAATAATTCAGCCATGATTCTGTGCTTGCTCCAGTCTTCAACGTGTTTCGCCGAGGCTTCATCAGGAAGATTTGGAGAGGTTAACCTATAGTATTTGTATGGGTATGAAAGTAAATTTACAATTGTCTACATGATAATTGATATATCAGAATCATTGATATCAGCTGGCCATACATATTTATAATGCAATAAATACCATCTTAATGACTCTTTTGCCGGTGATTGAATATCCATCTGCAGGGAGTTTCCCTACCCAAACAGGAGACAGGAACATCGGGGGAGACCATCGGAACGCAAGGAAGCCAAGTATCTGTCCTGATCGTACCTATGAGGTTAAAATTAGATAATCCAGATCTCTATTCCAACAATTTCTATAACAATCCATATGTCTATAATCCAAGGAAAATAGCCTTGAACAACCAAACTGCCGTCTCCATGACAAGGTTAGGACCAAATCCCAGCAACTTAATTGATCAATACTTTTTGTAAAACTTCACTTAGTGTATAACTATTAGTGTATAACTATTATTATACACTAAGTGAAGTTTTACAAAAAGTATTGATCAATTAAGTTGCTGGGATTTGGTCCTAACCTTGCCATGGAGATGGCAGTTTGGTTGTTCAAGGCTATTTTCCTTGGATTATAGACATATGGATTGACCAATACTTTTTGTAAAACTTCACTTATTGTATAACTATTAGTGTATAACTATTATTATACACGAAGTGAAGTTTTACAAAAAGTATTGATCAATTAAGTTGCTGGGATTTGGTCCTTACCTTGTCATGGAGACGGCAGTTTGGTTGTTCTAGGCTATTTTCCTTGGATTATAGACATATGGATTGTTATAGAATTTATTATATCTACGAATCAATTGACCTTATTTTTGGATCAATTCCCTGGTATTTCTCAGTGGTCACCACAAAGCCCCTTTCTTTCTCTTTCCCCCTTTTTTTGATATATATTGTATATATAGGGGTGGTGTCCCAGTTTGTGTGATGGTTCCTAACTTCTGTAATACATTTATATATATATAGAATTTGGGGATAAATATAGAGCAGAGGCGATACCACACCCAAGGGAAAAATATAGTAATACAGCATAAATTAGGGCTTTTAAGGTATCGAAAACACCCCTGATATTGCACAAGAGTAAGTTAAAATGACATCTTTATTTTGTACAAATACACCCATACGAATAGCTGGAAGTACACCACAGCAAAATAAGATTTTGGTCTCAATCTTGTAAAGGTAAAGTCACAATTACAGAGGCACTTGTCAAATGCACACTCTTTGATCAATCTAACTGTCAGGAGGTTATAGGAAAGTATCTAACTGTAGCTGTCTGGATTGGCAATCATAACGCCAAAAGTATAGCTCATCTTGGTGTGTGGTTGTGCATGTTAGAACATCACGGTAACAGCGCTTGAAGTAAAAATCTGCTAGAACTGGAACTAGAGTAAAATCATGGAAGTCAAATCTTATAAATATATACTTTAATCCAGAGTAAAAAGAAGTTAAAAAAAACTCAACAAGTTTTGGGATTTTTAGTTAACAACTTCCTTGCAGGCCAATTTAATTGTGGGATTCCAAGCTAATGTTGTTGGCCTTTTATTTTATCTTTTTGTTATTCAAATATAGTTCTAGGTCTATTATGCCACCTCTTATTGAGGCTGGTGAGTGCTTGTCTCTGGCGTGCTTATTACTGATTGAGATCGGTATCAGCAAAGGATTGGTGGTGAACACTTGGCTGTGGGTCTCAGATACAAAATACAACATTTTTATGTTATTGACCCACAATTATTTACATAACTACAGGGCTCTGTTATATGAAAAAGTTAGTCATCCTCAGCCAAACAGAGTAAGTTAAAGAGGAACTTTACCCATATCTTCAAAACACCAGCAAAAGCTCCAAGCAGATACTTCTAGATATTTGCAGGGTTTTTATTTTTTGCATTCCTTATTTTTCTTTTCTTCCCCAGTCTTCTAACAGTGGCCATTTTTACTAAGGGCAGTTTACTAGATCTCCCTTTACTTCCGGGTACTCTGGCACATGTGACTATAATGTGTGTCCATGCACAACCTCTCAGGGGAAGAAAATGCTTTTCTCTGAGATCTCGTGAGATTACAGATGAGATTTCCCAGCAATGCTCTACTGATGGATGCCAGGATGCAACGCTTGGGCACGATTACATGAATTGTGCCAAAGTGGACCAGTAAAGTGGGAAAAAAAGAAATTGTAAGTAAAATAAAAATAAGTTTGTTTCGCTAATAAATGTAAGATGATTTCATATCAGCATGCAGAGCTGTATGCTGATGTGATTGTTAGTCAAAGGAGGATAAAGGTCCGCTTTAAAGCAGACTTGTTCAAAAACAAAATCCAGAGCAGGAAGGTTTCTCACCTTCCTGTTTGCTATTTTCTAAACTGAGTTGTGCATGCCTATAATTCTGCTATTTGCATGAGCATGAGAGCTACAACATCTTGTTGCAGGCCAATCAAGATGGGCAAACATGTTGAACCAGGAAGAATATCAAGTGAATATGTCAGTAACAGCGATGGAGTATGCAAATGTTACAACACTTTAAGGTAAGTACAGTGGAGTTTAGAGCTGCTTTTAGCTAAGTGACAGGGGGCAAATATATACATTTTATAGGGAAAACCTGCAAATTAATGATAATTTAACTGACTAAATTATAAGATTCTTGCATGAGCCCAGTCATTATAGATTATCTTTCAAACAGTTTTTGCATTCCTGTACCGTTATACAAGACCTTTTACTCAAAACTATGTTATTTTAAAGCCGATAACCCAGAAATATGATGCATTTCTTCACAATGCTAACATGGAAATGACAAATGGGTACAGACGAAGTTTATGGAACATAATTGCTGAGCAGCATAAAATAAATAGGCAGGAAGTGTCTGAAGCCGAGACTAAGAGCCTATTTTTTATGTGTGTGGATTACTCCGCTCTGCAATCTTAAGAATAACTCATTTTTTCTTTAAGAAAATAAAATAAAAAATGTTATGCCCATGACAGATCTCTTCCATCATTATTTCTCCAGCACTCCACAAAAAAGCATACCAAAAAGAAGGCTCTTCGAATGTCATCCAGATTTAGTTGTCGAAACTGAGTTATATCTGTTCTGCAGGAGAAGTCAATACTGTTAAGCTGTGAAGGAAAAAAAAGGGAAAATCAATGTCATGTGTCATCCTAGTCACCTTCAATAACATTAGATGCCCCCTTGTGGTAAGCCATGAAATGAACATGTGTCAATAATAACCAACCAGCACCAACATAACCATGCTTAAAACCGGTAGTTATGCAAATGTACATATTGCAAGACCTCCAGATGAGCACAAATCAGCACATACAACATATCATTAAAATTATTTTTTAAGATTCTGAGAAATCAAAAATAAGTAGTAAAGGAGAAAAACTTTGTGTGATCAATGTAAAAAAAATAACTTGAGAACTTCTAATGGTTTGCCGTTAAGAGCATGTAGGTGTGACCACTGTTGGAAAACCACTCTTTGGCAATAGCTAAATATGTGCAGTATTTATATAAGAATGCTTGTAGGTCAAAAACAAATGTCCAGTGTTCTTCCCAACATTCAAGCCTAAAACATTATTTGTCTGCAAGTGACTACAATTTAGTTAGACGTTACAATATTTGTTTAGACTGGGATCCTGCAGTGAATGTGCTTTCCAACCTGGTTCACCATTAGTGATTCAAAATTGTTCATTATATGTAATGACCTCTGTATGGAGAAATGCGTAAACTGTATGTATTACAGCTTCACAATATAAAGAGCAAATTCAGTAAATTTAACTAAATGAAAGTATCTTTTGCTTTATTGAAGAATTTAAAGCTGAAGTTTAGGGGTCTTTTTGTTATGCAGCCCCAGGGATAGCATAGTGGAAGGAGAGTCACAAGTCACCTGCACACATGGAGTAAGAACATACATTTTGGTTTAATTTATTAAAGTATTGCCAGTATGAAAGAGTCAAACAAAATGTGTACAATTTTCCCCTTCCTTCTCTCTCTTTCACTCATAGAAGTTGTACTATTATTTTGATGAAGGTGGATCCTGTCATTCATGTTTTCCAGACTTTCACATTGATTTCTAAACTATAAAATTGATGGTGGTGGGTCATTAAAAATGAGTTAAAATGATTAAATACTGTGAAAGTAAGTACTATTGTATTTTGGGGGAATTTTTCGGCAAATAAACTACCCCCAAATGTTGATTTCTAGATTTTAAAATAGCTAGTGGGGGGTCTTGTTAAAATTGGGCCTAGTTAAACAATATTTTGGTGGCTTTCTTTTGGCAAATACAGTAATGTTGATTTGTAGATTTTAAAATGGCTGTTCAGAATGGGGCCTATTACAAATGATTAAATACTGTGCACATAGACATTACAACATTTTGGCAGTTTTGTTTAGGCAAACTAATTATACTCTAGGGCCCCTTTCACACTAGGGTAAGATTAGGTGCCTTTATATGCATTTTTAGAGGTTTTCTAAATGCATCTAAGGATTTCCAATGGATCCATTCACACCTTGCATTTAGATGCTTTTAGATGCAGTCAGTTTAGCTGTGTTTAGGAAAAAAAGAAGTCAGGTGCATCCAGGGAACAATTTTAGCTTTTAAACGCATGTAAACACATGCAAACACGTGTAAAAGCAAGAAAATGCAAGACACGTCTATTTGCTGAAATCTCATTTGCTACTTCAATGGATTGTTTCGATGGACAAAGGAAAGTTGCATCTAAAAGCATATGTGTGTAAACCCAAGTCATGTTAAGCATCTAGAAGCATAAAAAAGCATCTAGCCTGACAGATTTTGCAGACAGATCTCTGCATAAAAATGCAAGTGGACAGTGCGAATGAGGCCTAATGCTGATTTCTAGTTTTTAACCAGTTGACATCCGCGGTGTTAAACCCCCTTCCCATCCAGGCCATTTTTCAGTATTCAGCGCTGCGGTACTTTAACTGACATTTATTCCGTCATGCAGCGCTGTACTGAAATGAATTTTATACCCTTTTTTATGGACAGATAGAGCTTTCTTTTGGTGGTATTTATTCACCACTGGGGGTTTTATTTTTTTACTATATTAAGGAAAAATTACCGAAATAAAAAAAAAAACAGTTTCCCCTATATTAAATGATAAAACATTTATTATTACCCAATTTTTTGGTAAAATATAAAAGACGGGGTCACGTCGGGTAAAAAGACACTAAACATGTCAAGCCTTAAAATTGCGTGCGCGCGCGAAACCTCAAAAAACGATAATACCCAAAATTGGCCCTAGGCGACGCTTTAAAAGCTGTTACCGCTCATCAGTTTAGTGTTATCAGTGATTGATGGCCCTAAAATGATTGCTCTCACTGCGACGTTCGCGGCGATATGTAACATGTGTAGCGCAATTGTAATTTTTGCGCGCTGGGGCACCGGACGCGTATTTACGTTTATAGGCGCGTAAACGTGGGGGTGGGGGAGTTAAACATTTTGGGGGGGTTTTTTCCCCTTTTTTTATATGTGACTTTTATTTTATTTTATTTTTTTATGTGTTACTTTTATTTTTTTTTATTTATATTTTTTTTTGCACTTATTGTTATTGCTATTATATAGGGGGATAACAACCCCCTATATAATAGCAAAGGCACACTGACAGGTCCTCTTTATGGAGATATTAGGGGTCACTAGGACCCCTAATATCACCTATGGACCCCAAAAGAAGCTGATGAAGCAGAGATCTGCTTTATCAGCTTCTTCTCTCTGGCAATAGCAGCCAGATGACTGACAGGTGAATGCGGAAGTGATGTAACACACATCACTTCTGCATTCACAGCCCTGACGGAGATCAGCAAGGAGCTGATCTCTCATCCTCCTCCTCCTGACGCCCTCGGAGCCGGTCCCGGGATCCAAGATGGGCCAGCGGATCCCGGGAATCAAGGTGAGGGGTCAGGGGGGGCTATGGACCCGCTGATCGCCTTTATGTGAAACACCCGGTACCGGGTGTTCGCATTGGACGGGTCTTTTCTGCCCGTGCGTGCCCGCTAGGGGGCGCGCGCGAGCAGAAAAAAATAACCGTCTGGAGACGGCAACCCGCAGATGCAGCAGTGCCGTCCGTCCGTTTTTTTACTACGGGCGGACGGCAAGAGGTTAAAATGGCTGGTCAAGGTCCTATTCAAAATGAGGCCTAATACAATGATTTAATAGTGCATACATAAGCACTACAATATTTTTTTTGGGGGGCGGGGGGGTTTATGCAAAATGATTACACTCTACTGCTCATTTCTAGACGTAAAAATGGCTGGTATGAGTCCTGTTCAAAATAGGGCCTAGTACAAGTGACATTCTAGTGAATGTTTTCTCTGTTCAAAAAGTGGTCTAGTCAAAGTGCTTAAATACTGTGCACACAGTCAACACAATCTTTTGATGGCTTTTTTTAGTAAACTAAATACACTCTAATGTTGAAATAAATACTGCACACACACAGTCAATTAAATATTATTTGGGGGGTTTTATTAGGGATGCACCGATATCACTTTTTCCAGACCGAGTATGAATACTCATACTTTTCCTCAGGGTACTCGCCGATACCAATTACCGATACATTTTAAGTGCTGTGTGACAGTTTTTCTAAAACAATACAGACTATTGATTTTAGGACAATTGTGAAGTGCCAGGGTCTGGTCGCAGCAGCAAACGCTGTGCCCCTGGTAGTTCTGCCACTGACTCTGAGCTGTAGAGGAACTACCAATCTCAGCAATACATTATACAGCAATGCAGAATACCATCAGCTATAGAGGACTACAAATTCCAGCAAAGCAGAACAATACCTTCAGCTATAGAGGACTACAAATCCCAGCAATACATTATACAGCAATGCCAAATGGTAACTGGCTATAGAGGACTACAAATCCCAGCATTGCATTACACAGCAATGCAGAATAATATGAAGCTACATACTCTGTGCAGCTCCGGCCTGATGTCTCCAGTGGAGGATCTCAGGAGTGCTGTGCAGGGTTTTGTATTGTCTCAAGAGGCTGTAAGAGGGCTGTGCATGGTCTCATATAGCTGTGAGGGGTCTCAGGAGGGCTGTGCAGGGTCTCAAGTGACTTTGTGGGGTCTCAGGCGGCTGTGCATGGTCTCACCAGGGCTGTGTGGGGTCTTAGGAGGCTCTAAGGGCTCTCACCCGTATCGGTACAACCCTAGTTTTATTGCAATAAATAGAATCTAAACAGCTGGTCGGTGTATGTCCTGTTGAAAATGCAGCCTAGTGAAAATGCTTAAATACTTTGCACAGTCACAACAATATTTTTGTGGCTCTTCATATCAAATAAATACACTACAATGCTGATTCTTGGATTAAAAGCTGGCTGGTGTCCCTTCTGTTATAAATGGAGTCTAATAAAAGTGCTTAAACAGTATGCATAGTCTGTAAAATGTGTATGCCTTTTTTCCTAATGCAATATAATTCTGATTACTTGCTTAAAACCTCCATGGTCCTTATCTTTAACTGTGGCATACTAAAGCTGCTGTGATATAATTTGAATCAAGTCTGTATAATAATTCAGTTTTTTTCTGTGACATATTACACTAAAATTTTCATGAAAACGTACCTAGTCTGTCCCTCTTACACTGGGGTCTACTTAAGCTGCTTACAAAGTGTGCATTAAGTCTGTCTAACCTCTGGATTTGTTTTTATATACTACACTCTAATTTGTATTTCTTACAAATTAGAGTGTAAATTTTTCAATTTTTTTCAGTGAAATAAAACGTTAAATTTGATATCTTGATTTTAAATATGCCTGTTGTCTTCATACTGTAGCAACTCACATAGTGTGCATGTACTGAACAATTTGTATGTCTTTTTTTCAGTGAAATAATAACGAGTAATTTTGAATTGTGATTTAAACCTGCCTGGTGTTTACCTCTTGAATTTCAGCCTACTAAAGATGCTTACATACTGTTAAGCAAGTCTATACAGTATTTATGTCTCTGAAATAACACACTAAAATTTGTATTTAAAATTTTAACATATTTAATATGTATAATGTTATGTATACATTTTATTTGTAATTTCAATTACAGCTTTGAACGTTGTGTCAATTAGTTCACATCAGGCAGTTGTTGCACCTCACTGCTTCCTTTGAACAC